TGTAGGGTTAGGAACTATAATGCGCCTGGACCCCCTGGTTGCTAGGACACTGCAAGACTCAGAGTCAGTTAAGATACGTGTGTAAGTGACTGTAGACGGTCAAAGCGGGGAATTGACAACGGTCTATCTTTGATAGTCTCGTGGATAGTGCTACAGCTCTGTTCCGTGAAACTTTGAGAGGGGTTCAGAAGCCTTTCAACATCGTTTCGGCCTAAACGGAAATGTTGTTGCCTGGAAGTTGCCAAACAAAGATGGAAATAATTTTGAGAATTACTTACTATGAAAACGTCCGGTTCAAGTCACGCACAAGGGCCCGAAGCTTCCTGACCCTACTGTCATCTATTGAATCGGATTGGCTGTCGGGAAATAGGCGGCCAAAGAACTTGTGTGAATAGTTGCCCTCAATTGCTCGTAGAGACAAAAGTTGGAAACGGGAGGCTATCTTATCGAGATGTGCACGGAGCTGTGGTGGCGATGACCTTGGACCTCCTAGGCTCTCCAGGGCTCCTTTACGGTTGTCCAAATTATCTTGAATATCCGTAATTAGGGTATCCAAGTTCTCTCGAACATGCCCCAGGAGTATGTTAGCTAATTTCTTGCGAAGTGTATCAATACCCCGGTTATTGGAAGGAATCGTGGACCAGATACCGGAGTCGAAAAAATCGAGCTCTTTAGAATCCCTTTCTGCGGATGATAGAGAAGATTCCTTCTCGCTGCGATTACGCAGAACATGCCACCCCAAAGCCAGTTGGTATGCCTTTTCTTGGTTTTTTGCGAGCCTAATGAACTTTTCTTCATCCTCCGAGTCTGAGATGAGAACATCAGGCTTCGTAACAATACCAAGTGTTCGCTGCAGGTTCTTATCATGTCCTTTAACCTTTGCAAGCACCTTCTGCATGACGAATGAATTCCGTGCTGATACGATGGCCAAAATAATGCTGTTTTTCCGTAGCATATAGTTCTCAACAAGACGGTCCACGATCTCTAGGCCATCGGCATGTTGTTCGTCGCTCTCAGAATGATAGAAACCAGGAAGATCAACAAGGGTAAGGTGGGGGACATCTGGTGAACGGATTTCGACGCGTAATATATCTTCTGAGAAGCGGGCATTGTCCCGAAGCAAACGAGCTTTCGCCTCCTCGATGATACGGGGCAGGTCTTCTGCGTCGAATTTTGTCTCATTAAATTCACAATCTACATCGGCTACACCAGATGCAGGCTGTATTTGCACATGGACTTTGGTGTGCGGGTCAGTTCGAAGGACTAATTCCGTAGCGAAACGTGTGCATAATCCATCCTTGATAGGAAAGCGGACTCGTGAGATGGCCTCCAGCACAGAAGATTTGCCGGAAGATTGATCGCCAACGACGATGATCTGGGGGAGGTCTACAAATCGACCAATCCCAAGTTTGCGTAGATCATCGATAGTATCGAGGAGAGCTTTACGTTCTCCACTGAGCTGTTCAATAGCCTCCGAATTGAGAGAAACTGTAGCCATTGAGGAGGCCGATATGCATGACCGTGTGGGATAATTGCGATAGAAACTGGGTTTCGCGTGGAGGTACGAAGGGGTATGAAACGATTTTTATTTCATATGAGTGATTTTGTTTATGTAGTTTTAACTTTTCCCCAGAGTGGTACTTTAGAATAATAAGCATGTGGCTTAGGGGGGGGGGCATCCCCTATTTACTTACTACCTGCATGCATGAAGTGCCAACGGTGTTTTGGATTGGTTCAGCTCACCACAGCACCTGAAACTGCGCAGCAAAGAGCTTTCTGTGTACAGCCTAGGCTCCCCTATAGAAGGTGCTTTCGCGTAACACAAGGCGTTCGAAACCTAGAGTCAATACAGGGCCTCAAAGCCACACTGTATCATGCGTTGGCTTCTCACTCAACCCGACAGGGTACTCAAACCCAAGCTGGAGTTCGGCGGTTAATCTAGGACTCATGTACATGGTATCGAGTATGATAGGTAAGCGGGTAGCTGACAGTACAAATACTATAGGTAATTTTAATAAGCGAATTGGGCGTGGTTGAGGCGTCCCCTCCCATTCCCACGGCCTGTTTTCAGGCTTGGCTACATGCATGGCGCAATTAACAACGTTATTCTACCCACACATCCCGATTTATTTATAGCATGACTCATTCGCTGTACACACATTAAATGTAATGAATTATCAATTGTATTTCCGTAGACCTATATTCAACACCCATAGATAGACCTTTCTGTATAGCCGATAAACTAAGTTTTAAATGGTTGTCTATACCTCCAGCTTGCCTTCTTACTAGTATGAAGGAGTCTAGGTAACTACGCAAGTAAGTAGATTATCGGGATTGAATTACATATTATTAGTTGTTAGGTACTTATACAAAATTTATGATAAAGTACACGTCTAGCAAACCTGTAACGATTTTATCGCCTATGCGACACTGTGGGCTGCAACCTGCCATTATTCCATCTTAGCGCTTGACATCATAAACCAACCTGCTTGTTCACGCATACCTTGAAGTCAAAAAATAGCGTCATTCTTCTGTATTTCTATGAATCGGTAGTAGTAATAGTAAGAGGTCCACTGCGAGAAGGACGTGATATTCGGTTAGAGTATGTGGTAGCTATTAATTGACTTATGATCTGTAGATGGAGGGGAGGGTACATCCATGTTGTATGATTATCGAACTAAACCCGACCGAAGTTTTGATATAGGTTTGCTGGGCTGGGAAATCAACGAAAGTATCGATGTTGTTAAGACAGCAAGCCTGCTACCTAGGTCTGCTCATATGAGTTATCACATGTCTAGGAAGCTACCTGCGTCGCAAAAAAAGCAAGAATGGTATCGAAACAATCAAACAGACGTTGTGAAACAATAACAGTTTAGCGTCATTGTTCAAACTGACGTCAGGTGAGTCATCCCAATTGAAGGATTGTATGGACAGTATGTTGGACGAATAAGAACTCAATGAAAAACTACCTGCGTTTTCCATATTTGCTGCCGTACGTTGGATAAGGGTATTTAAGTTCTATTCTAGAAGTGTACTAGGGGCGAAGGAACTAGTGCGTACATCATAATTTACCCATGCCGTTAAGAGACTTCTTTTATGTTCCAAAAGGATTTAAATAAGTTATTCACATTTTCCCGTACACTTCGGCGAACTGCGTCGTGATGACGAATGGGACGAATTGGAGTGCTGTAACGCGGTCCCCGATACCTATACCTGAATAATCCAGGCAAGGAAGAGAGTGTGACCCGGTACTCCTTCTCTACTCATGATAGTATTGCCAATACATAATTCTTTGGACGTCAAACTGCCTTAGCCATAATGAATAGACGCATCGTGCTCTGACAGTCTTGTCATAGGTTTCATGCTGCTGTGTTTGTAGAACACTCACATTAGACTGTATACCAGAATAGGAAAGTGGCCTAATTTCGATTGGCTAGTCTCTAGAATACCACAAACCTAGGTAGCTGAGTCTTGCGTCTGGTTGTCCAAAGCACCTGGGCGAAGGGAGTTGACTGTCCGCCGAGGCGGCATCTGACGAGAAACACCTGCCTAGCTGTCTAGTTGACTAGCCTAGTGCATCTTCCAATATTTCTAAATGATACTTAGATACAGTGTTCACTACGTAGAATTTCAACTAGACGGAGCGGCGTAACCCACCATGGCCTAGAATAGTGACGGAGCACCAATCTCCGTCTTCGACCGACACAACGGTCCGCAACGGGATCATGAGAGCCGCGGATTCGCTGAACGGCTGTCTCTCTTGACGAGTATATATATCTCTCTCTTTCGACTGAGCTATTGACACATTGATAATAAACTTATCGCTTGACTTCAATAATTTGCTGTGTCTTAACAAGGGATAATCAATATGCGTTCGGCGTTCTGGGCCCTGTTGGCGACTAGCATCGTAGGCGGGGCAAATGCGGCCTCGCTAACTAAAGTTACCGAAACCTTCGGTCCAAATCCGAGGAACGTGGGATTCTATATCTACGTGCCAGACAAGCTTGCGGCCAATCCCCCGATCTTAGTCAATCCCCACTGGTGCCACGGCGATGCACAAGCATGCTACGCCGGATCGCAGTACGCAACTATGGCGTCCAAGTATGGCTTCATCGTCATCTACCCAGACAGCCCTAACACGGCCGACAAGTGCTGGGACGTGTCGTCAAACGCTACCTTGGCGCACGATGCGGGCGGCGATAGCTTGGGGATAGTTAGTATGGTGCGCTGGACACTTAACAAATACAAGGGCGATCCCAAACGCGTATTCGTCACGGGCGTCTCTTCAGGCGCGATGATGACAAGCACTCTGATTGGGGCGTACCCGGACGTCTTCGCCGCTGGCTCTGCGTTTGCCGGCGTCCCTTTTGGATGCTTTGCCGGCAATGGATATGGCGTTTGGAGCGACGCGTGTGCGACGGGGAAAATCACACATACGCCGGCGGAATGGGCAGCATTGGTCAAGGCAGCCTATCCTGGATACAACGGATGGCGGCCGAAAATGCAGATTTTCCATGGCACTGTGGATGAGACGCTAAACTACAAGAACTTTGAGGAAGAGGTCAAAGAATGGAACGCCGTGCTGGGATACAGCCAGACGCCGACCAGCTCGACGGCCAACACGCCGGTCAGCAATTGGACACGGTATACATATGGCAACAACAACTGGTTCCAGGCTTATAGTGCTGGAGGCGTGTCCCATAATATTCAGAACCAAGAGGCGGTGGTTATGTCTTGGTTCGATCTTGCCTGTACATCGGGGAGCTGCTTCAGCTGGGGCACAGGTGGCGCCTGATTGCGGAAGCAATAGATAAAATATGTCTTAGTAGATTGGAATTTGACAGCTTGGAATTCAATGCTGTTGAGTAGCGGGCATTCATTCTACATATGATCTTATTTATGGCTGGTGGAAGTGGACATATCTAACTACTAAGTAATTAACTACCTACCTTAACTAAATTGGAAGGGTACCGGCTACTAACTAAGTACAGGCAAAAAATTGACCTCGCTGGGGGTCGAACCCAGAATCTCCTGATTGCTTTTAGATATCAACATTTTAGTGGTGAAATCTCTCGTAGTCAGACGCCTTGCCATTGGGCCACGAGGCCAATTGATTATTGATAGAAGCTTAGCCATACTATTGGGTGTCACGTTTCTCTGTTGTCAATCCCTGTGCTCAGAGGAGGGGTTCTAAATGAGGGGTTGCAACTATACACGGGGTACCCCTGTTGAATATGCTGCCCCGCCATAACATACTGCCTACAATGCGCTATACTTTTCGCGGGGATGTAAGATAATGTTTGATGAGAGAAGTGGTGTTGCTTTTGACTTCATCTAGGAATGAATTATTCACCACTTTACCTCGCAAGCGTAGATAGTCTTCTTAAAACCAGGTACATATTTGTGATCCTAAAGGTATCATTATATCCTATTAAATTGAGTTGGTAAATTGATTTCACTATTCCCTCTCTTTGTTTATGTTGCCGATTGTTCCGCTGATATTATTGGCCTTTTTACCCATCTAGCTATCTGGATATATGAGAATCTTAAATGTTTTTGGGCATCATATCACTTGGATTTAGGAAATTAGGTCATAAAAGACGTCAACTTATGAAATCTATATACTTTATTTAAGGCACTGGATACTGTGATGGCAAGTCATTAACTTAGTGCACGGAGAAGGGGAGCTCGTCCGAACCCGATTGCTACTCACCTTCCAGCCCTTGCTAGGCCTCCCGGAGTCTGCTACGTTTCGGGGTAGCTCACATCTTCACAGAAGGAGTTGCGACATGTGTTGCACAAGGCACCGATGATCGCCTTGTATTCGTGAAGCGATTCAAATAAGCCAACTAATACGCTCATGTACCTTTCATCTTACTCGGGACAACTTGGCGCTGGAACTAAGTAATACCGTCAAAAACAATACCCCTCTACCACACGCGACGACACTTCAAAATTTGTTTGTTCCTGGGCCTATTATCAGTCAAAAAGGCGGCACCAACCTGGTCTTCAGCACAACATCGATCGCTCGACCAATGCACCCTCAAATGCTGTGCCAAGTGAACACTTCACGTGAAAGCTTCCGTGTCACGGAAATTCGTGCGCGTCGAAACACTGTGGCGTCGCTTGACCAAGTTGTTAGTCAACAAAAGTCTACCCTTCGCGAACCTTGCTGATGATCAATCAAGTTTCAGAATTCGAAGTGGGGGTCAGTTTCTCTCAGAATGCAGCAATTGTTGGACGCGTTCGAAATATGCACTGGTAGCGCGCGGTACGCATAATACGGTAGGAATACAGGGAAGCAGTGAGAGCTGCAGCGCGATTGAAGACGAAGAGCTACCGGAACCTAGATCTCCTTCGGTCCGTCGGTCTTTCGGTCTTTACGATGTTTTGTTGAACCTACAGTTATGGAGTCCCTGGTGGTTCCACTTCATTATAACGAATGTTATTACAACAATCATTACATAAGACGCACCATGGTCGAGTCGGACGATGGGGATGATAGATTAAGAGTTCTTGTTTGTTTTTCGAATGCAATGGATACCGTCAAACACGCAGAGCTCAATTCAATGCAAGTCGAGGACGGTGGGTCGTGAGGCCACATCAACTGGTCCCTTCCGTAGTCGTCGAATGATCCGACCCTACGATATTAGTCGTCACGCTTCCCTGCAGTTCCGCATTTTTCGCAATAGGAGTGATACTTCGTCACGACCATGGGCCACCGTTCAAGGATGAGAATATCTCTAGTCTAGGCTTAAGACTAGCGGGCACTAGCCGTAAGAGAACCTAGCATCGGAATACTCATTCATTGAAATCTCTCACCATTCTGAATATCCAAAATCTCACGATGCCGTCCAGTAGGACCGAAGAGCTTATTGCACTTCTTGACAACATTGAAGTGTCTGATTACAAAGATGATTCAAGCGGCCATGGTGACCGTGTAGTGATCGCAGAGGCTGCGCGGCGCCTCCTCGCCCGTTTAGAGACCCCCTTCGAACGCGCATGGCGTCTATCTTGGATCAATGGTAATGTCCATGCTGCCATACAGGTCATCTTAGATCTCGGTATTTGGGAGGGCTGGTATATGAGCAAGCGACGTGAGATCTCATTAACGGAGCTTCACGCTTTGGCCCGGAGACCATGTGATTTAAACCTTCTCCGTAAGTCAGTTGATTCCGCTACATATTCCGTGCAAAGGCGACTATTAAAAGAGTCTTAAAATGCCATACGCTAGTATCAATGATAAAATTATACGCTAACGACTTGTGCAAGGTCGTTTACTTCGGCTTCTAGTCGCTGAGAACGTCATTCAAGAGCTCGGGGAAGATCGATATGGTGCGACTACCTTCTCAGATACCCTAGGACAAGCAGAGGAGCCTGTCGCTCAAGCAATCGTGTCAGGGTATGTAGCAGGCTCATCTCTTCCCCTCCTACTTGCCATCACTGTTTCTGACGTTCATATGCGCTGGAAAGGACACATCACGGTCTAGATTCAAGTCGGAATTTGCCAGGCTTCTTGTCACGGACAGGATACGCAGAGCCGTTAGACCCGAAAAATACAAACTATATGGAACTGACTCCAGACCGCATCGGTATGTTTGAACGATGCCGCGGAAATCCGGAGTACCAAGAAAGCTTCATCGGGTTTATGCGCGGACTCGCGGTTTACAAGCTCGACTGGACTGAGATCTACGACACGAAAATCCTCATGCGTGACTTTAACGCTAGCGAGGAAGCGGCACTGCTAGTCGACATGGGAGGTGCTCATGCTGTAGATATAGAGCGTCTGCTACGTCGATATCCAGATATCCCGAGCGGGAAGCTCATCTTACAGGATACACCAGACGTCATCGCGATGGCGAAAGTGAGTGAACAGATTCAGCTCATAGCTCATGACTTTTTCACGCCTCAGCCCATAATAGGTGAGTAAATGACGTCTCCTGGTTCGGATTTCCAACCTTCAGTTACTTGCACGTCCATCGTCTCAGGTAACTCGAAGACCGTAGCCATTTCGCTAACGTATCCGACGATTTAGGCGCCCGGGCCTACTTTATGCACGCGATCCTCCACGACTGGGACGACTCCGACGCAGGTCGCATTCTCAACCATGTCTCCGCAGCAATGAGAAAGGATTATTCGAAGCTTCTACTGTATGAGAGCGTACTGGTGAGTACAGGCTCGACGATGTACCAAAGTGTGGCAGACGTCAGTATCATGCACCTTATATCAGCAGCTGAGCGAACGGAAACACGGTGGAGGGAGCTTCTTCAGACTGCCGGCTTTAAGGTCTGTAAGATATGGTGTCATCCTTCATCATTGGAGAGCGTGATTGAAGCTGAATTGGCATGAGCTTAGGTCTTATCCAATATGAGTCGGTATGCATGGGATAGAGCAAGGTGGGCAGCGTCATAGCTACGTCCAAATTAGATGCGCATGATATCTGGTAGCAGTAAATGCAGCCTATTAGTTGGACGATCGCATAGATAAGTAATAACACGTTCGTCTAATAAGGGGACACTCTCTTTAGGCCACCCCTTGATATCCCACTGCTTGACTCAACGCCCACTCATTTTTCTATTACCGTACCCGACCCGACATAGTTCACTCCGAGAACAGAATCTTTGTCGCCTCACAATCTCAGTTGCTTTTACTCTTCCCATTCGTACGTCCCCCAATTAAAAGCGCAATGCCTGTGATGACCGCACCCGCGCCTTCCCAGACCGCCGGTACGCTCCAACCCTGAGCAAAGAAGACCGTAGTAGTGAGCAACCGCATAGGCACGGTTGCGGCAAAGAAAGTCGTGTTTTCTTGATAAGCTGCTAGGGTATAGTACAACCCCATCGCGATAGCAGCGAGCGCATTACCTCGCGCTACCGGCGCGCAGGCAAGGGGGAAGTTGAGCTGCGAAGCCGACGAGGACGGGTCGATCAGGGATGAGACGCCCGCTAAGAATGCGGTAGCACCAAACAAGTAGATCGTTATGGCTGCTGGGGAAGGCATATCGTGGCCTAGGCTTGAGTGAGAGTAAGAGAGAGATTGGTATGATGAGATTGGACTATGAGTATATGAGCTTCGGGTCCGTTGGTGTGTGAACGATTAAAGAATGTGTTTATCATGATCATAGCTGCTGGGGTCCCCTGTTACCAAAGGAGGGGCTTCTCCACATAACCATGCTAGTTCTAACCTAGTAAAGAGTTCTTCGCCAACTGAGATAGGCGGGGTTCAATTGTAACGATGTTATGAGTAGTCCATATCTTACAAGTCGATAACCGGCAGCTTAACTCTTCTATATAAAGCACTTACATCTTAAGTCACTGACTGCATTTAGTAGCCTATGAATTCCTAAATATTTAAGCTTAATTCGGTTGCACCTTTGTGAGACTAGAGCTTAGAGTCGAGAGGCCCCTTTTGAGGCCCAAGATAACAACTAAAATAGTGGCCATGTTGCGTCAGCTAGCGGTTGGCATCAGAAATCTCAGCATCTATGCCGACACATAAGAATATGTGTACATATAACGTCGATTCAGCAAGTCATATGATAGAGGCGGAGTATGGAAGAAGAGAGAGTATCGATAGTATTAGGCACAACAATAAACAATACATGTGATAAAGTGCATTACACGTCTACGATTTTCTCTAGTGACAACAATTTAATGAATAACACTGCCATACACTGTCGTCAACTACCTCATGCATCTACTTTACGAAAGATTCCACCAAACCAACACTTAATACCAACCCACTTCCCGCTTCTGAGTCCGAGCTTGTCCACCATATTCTCGTCAACAGCCCTCTCTATGATCCCCGTCCCTTCTTCATCAGTCTCAACATCCAGCCCACATTTCCGCGCCTCCAGTATCACCTCCTGGACAGTGTGTGCGTAGCTTGTTGGCCGTATCTTCTCGCCTGTAGCTGTGTCCACGAACCCAGCTTGTGATATCCCGCCCATTTCAGAGTGCATGTTGGTCAAGAGAAGCACGCCCCCGGGACGAAGAAGCTGTGTTACGTGCGCGAAAAATATGGGCAGCGGTATGTGTTCAACGACAAGCGTGCTAATTATGGCGTCCACCGTGTGAGGCGCCACGGATGCTGGGGGTAAAGAGCTGGC